ACATGGAAGTGATAGAAGTGGAATCATATTTATCTGATGAAGATTAAAAGAATTAGAAAGTACATTTGAATCCAATCTCTTTCTCATATAAGGTTTTCTGTTACATTCATTCTGTTATTTTAATTGCTCTAATTTAAACTTAAATCAATATTTCATTCATGTTCTCTGTAAACAAGAAAGGAAATTACTAGTATCCCCAAATCCCTGAGGACGATATCAAATTACTACAACGAAGCTTGGTCCGCTTGCCAAGAGTGAAAAAACCTTCACTAAATGTTAGGCTCAAAAATTTGTAACTCTTCAAAGGCATTATGAGTTCTTTCCAATGAAAGAGATAAAAACCATTAATAAGATGCATGGAAGACTTCAAATTATTCTAAAATGATTTCAAGCTTTGGGGATTGAGTTTACTAAAGCATAAAATAATCTTAAAATCCTAGACAACCTATCAAAAATCTAGGAACCCAAAGCAGCAACTATTTTTGAAGCTCGTGATCTAAATGCTCTACTCTAGATGAGTTATTAGGATCCTTGAGATTTATTGAGATTAATCTTTTAAAGAGATATTAGATGAAAAAAATAATGATATTGTCCCTTTTAAGATTAGGAAGTCTAACCAAAGAAAGGACAAGGGAAAAACTTTCAATGTCTAGTTTGATCCAAGCAACTCAAACGAAGACTCTACAAACAATGAGATCACACATGTCTAAGAAGTCCAAGAGAATGCTTGAGAAGAAGGGAAGATTTAAGAACTTCCAAAAGAAGAAGGAAAAGTTCAAAAATTATCCAAAGAATAAAGTAGAGAAATAATCTGCTTTAAGTGAAAGAAACCAAGGCACAAAAAGATTAAATGTCCCAAACTCAAAAAAGGTGGTCAATAAGGAATTATAAACAAAAGAAAAGATTGATGGTCACACATGAGAAGATTTAGATAACAATAGTAGCAACAACAGTACAAATGATCAAATGATCAACATTTTTCTTATCACAAAGACAAATGAAACAAATCTTAAGCTAATCTTTGAACCTTAAATTAAGTATGAATCATGTGATAATTCATAATATGCTTTAGATGAATAGCTAACTCTCATATGATTCCTCTTAAATATAAAAAAAAATATTATGAAAAATGCAACAAAAAAAACTCATCTTTAAAATGTAAAACTCAATAAAGATATGAAAGATTTACTAGAGAAAACAAAACTATTAAAGTTAAGAATTACGATAGATCAATTTGAAGTTAAAACTTTAAAAAAATGAAAAGTTACGATTAACGAAAGATTTTTCCAAGTTTGTTAATGGATCTTATGAATTAAACATGACTTTAAAACATAGAAGATTATTATTTGACAAAAGTGACATAGGGTTTGATAATCATAAAATCAAGACTACCTTCTCTAAGCCTAAAGCACCATATTATAGCTTTTGAGGAAGCAATAATGGTGTCATCTCACAAAATGATATATACATAAAAGATACCGAGGGTGAATAAAACCAAGAGAACTAATACTAGAGGATCGAATATTTAAAAACCAAAATCTCAAACTATTTTTAAGGTCTACATTCCCATATCTGTAACCATAAGAAGGAATGATGTAATTTAGAAGTAATGACAAAGAAAATATCAAAGGTAATAGTAAGATTGAAAATAATTCTTTGCCTATAATAAAAAAATGTATTAATGTTAAAGGGTTAAATTTTAATATGCTTAACATAAGTCAAAATTTTGATAGTAGACATATTAATTGTATCCTTCAACAAGGAAACTACATAGTTAGACAAAATGACAAGTCTTTACTTATTACTAGTTACAAAAGGAATAATCTCCATGAAATTAATCTAGATGATTTAAAAAAAAAAATAACATTTCTAGTTTCTAGAGAAGATGAAAATAGATTTGACATAAAAAGTTTGAGCATGTCAATTTGGCATAAGAAACCTACGATACAACATCTAAAGAAGGTGTTCAACTATGTACCCTAAATTTCTTCTCATCAAGATAAATTGAAAAGGATAAGTTTATACTTATTGCTAGTTACAAAAGGAATAATCTCCATGAAATTAATCTAGATGATTTAAACAAACAAAATATAACATTTCTAGTTTCTAGAGAAGATGAAAATAGATTTGACATAAAAATTTTGAGCATGTCAATTTGGCATAAGAAACCTACGATAAAACATCTAGAGAAGGTGTCCAACTATGTACCCCAAATTTCTTCTCATCAAGATAAATTGAAAAGGATAAGAAAATTATTTAAAGGTGGATATTAAAAGAGAAAGCATACTCCATATGTAGGACCCAAACCACTTCCCTCACTACTTAAGTAGGACATTTTGGAGCTTACTTTATTTTAATAATATCGAGGTTGAGACTGAAACTAAGAAAAATTGAGTGGAAACCGTATCATTTCAAGTCACCAACAAACATCACACCTATGTGTGTGTTTGCATTATAATTAGAAAGTTAAGTTGAACTTAACTTTTTAAACTTAAGTTTAGTTAAAAATGGGTTTAAGTTAACTTGATTAATATTTGGATACCTTGATCTTAAAGTACTTTTATCAAAGAAAAATTTGTTTGGATGATAATAATTAAAAGTACTATTATATGTGTAATTACTAAATGGGTATGAATTTTATAATATAATATAAATGTTATTTATCTCATTATTTTTCATGTATATTTGAATTGATAATGTATTATTTAGTGATAATATTATAAATTAAATTACAAATAATGCTAAAACATTTTCATAACAATTTTAATGAAAAATTTGTTTGGATGATAATAATTAAAAGTACTATTATATGTGTAATTACTAAATGGGTATGAATTTTATAATATAATATAAATGTTATTTATCTCATTATTTTTCATGTATATTTGAATTGATAATGTATTATTTAGTGATAATATTATAAATTAAATTACAAATAATGCTAAAACATTTTCATAACAATTTTAATCCCAAAATTTTAATTGGGTAATTTTAGTCCCTAAAGAATTGCAATTGTGTGATTTTGGTCTTTCAATTTTTAATTGAACAATTTTAGTCCATCAAATATCATAATTGTACAATTTTAGTCTCTCCCATTAAAAATTTAATAATTTTAATATATATATATATATAATTAAAAGTACTATTATATGTGTAATTACTAAATGGGTATGAATTTTATAATATAATATAAATGTTATTTATCTCATTATTTTTCATGTATATTTGAATTGATAATGTATTATTTAGTGATAATATTATAAATTAAATTACAAATAATGCTAAAACATTTTCATAACAATTTTAATTAAACTACAATAAAATAAATAAAGAAAAACAACAATTAATTAACAATATAAAACAAGACATGCATTAACCAACGAACCATCATAAAAAATAAAAAATAAAAAAAAGGAGAGCAACAAAAAAAAAAAGATGAAATGGAAGAAAAAAAAATGCAAGCTTACCAAGAGCAAAGTGATCTTTGTGAACTACATCCAAATTTGTGAATCTTTAGTGCTGATAAGTAAAAGGGTAATGATGTCAATAAACGATTGTTCAAATTAATAATTTCAATAGAAAGGTCAAAAACCGGTTAATGTTAAAGTAAAAGCAACAAACTTGTTGCTTTGGTTAAAACAAAGGTTACGACAAAAAAATCATTCAATGCAACGAAGAAGAAGACGACCAAACATATGGGTGAGACATTTTGTGACTTGTGAACGTTTATTTAGGTATGAAAATGTCAACTTAACCATACCTTATGTGTTTTTCAAATCTTAATGTGAAATCCTAAACCCTAAGAACAACATTAATAAAATATCATAAAAAATATTCTCCCGGAGAAAGAAACTTTACCTATATAAACATATTTGTTTGAAGTTATCTTATAATATTTTCATAAATAAAAGGATATGAAATACATTTTCCCATGTTTATTACAAGATTACAAAATTAACCTCAAACATATAACATTTTCAAAAAAAACAAAGCTTTCAATTATCTAACTTTTAATTTATTTTTTTCAAAAAAGATATTAAGTACAATTTTTTTTTTTCAATTTAACTTCTTTTACGCTTGTTTTGATAAAAATATTTTCATTATTAAAAAAATATATTTTTTTAAAATATTCAAAATATCATTTCCATCGTTATATCTCTAAAAATATTATTCTGAAAATAAAAACCCATAACAAACAAATGCCTCTGTTTATTTAGCCAAGCTTAGTGAAACGCTCACTTAAAAATAAAATGTTGAAAAGACTCCGACCTGTAATGCCGTCGTGGCAATCAACCATTGGTCAGTGCTCACGCCAACAACCTTTACCTACGAATCATATCAACCATGACGTTTTCCTTTTCTTTTCTCTCGGTGTATTTGACGCAATTTCTTACCTCAATAATCTATGCAAAATCCAAAATGCTAAGATATGTTCCGATATATTGGATTTTTTTTTTATTTTTTAAACACGTTATTATATATTAGATAAATATTTGAAAATACTTATTTTACAGAAAATTGTTATCATTTCTAATTTTTATCTGTTAATTAAAAAATATAATACCTAAAATAATGAATATAATTAATTTTAAAAAAAAATATTTTAATCTTTATATTTAAATTTTATTAAAAAATTTATCAAACATTATTATATAAAATCTATCTATTAGTATTTCTGTTGGTGAAAACAACACAATAAATCTAATTGATACTGTATAACTATTTTAATTTTTCACTTTTAAATATATTAATAATGATTTGAGGAACTAAAACAAGATTTTTAAAAATTATAAGAATTAAAATTAATAATTTTAAATTTAAAAAATTAAAACTAAGTTTATCTTAAATTTAAAAAAATTTATTTTAAAAATAATATTTAAGTCTAGTTAGTATTATTTTTCTGTTATGTATAATAAGTGTAAGTATAAATATTTGGGCTTGTAAATATTTATCCCTTTATAAAATGAGATAAGTGGTGCAGTCTGCAGCAGTAAACCTAAGATTTGTTCTCACATAAATTGCCATACGTTTCGCCACAAATCCTGAAGTTAACTCTCTTTCTCTCTCTTTCTCTTACTTTCTCTCTCTAAAGAGTAAAATCTTTGAATGGTTTCCAAAAACCCGAACCCGCCCGAGGGATTCTACTTGGATCCGACCGGCATGGCTCTCTCGGGGATGCCTCCCTTCGCCTCCGTCTCCGCCGCCGCCAACTCGCCGGAGGACGCCGCCAAGAAGATACGGAAGCCCTACACTATCACCAAGTCAAGGGAGAACTGGACTGAACCCGAACACGACAAGTTTCTTGAAGCTCTTCAACTGTAATAATCTTCGCTCTTTTTTATTTATTTTTGTTATGGAAAAATTTAGTGATTGAGTTTTGGTGTTAGGTTCAGACATTGGTTAGTTTAATTTTAGTGCTTGCTGGTGGTTCTTTAAGTTGCGTGAGCTGAATTGTGTGTTCAAGTGGGGAATTTAGGGTTTGGGGGAGGGAGGGATTGGGGTTTGTTTTTTGTGGGGGTAATGTGTTGGAATGGAAATGGTGCATGGATAGGGTAAAGCGTGATTTTCGATGCTGAGTTAGCATGGTAAAATTAGTTGTGAATTAAGGGCCTGTTTGATGTGATTGACTAAGGGGAAATGTCACTTTTTATTTTGTTTTCCATTTTGTATACAAATGTTTGAAAATAAACAAATTAAGTGAGAACAAAGTGGAATTTATGTCTTTGGAACTGAGCTCAAAATCCTGCAATGTGTCAGGTTCGAGCCTTGTAGGTAGAAAACATGTGGTTAGTAGATGATACAGTTTTTCGGCAGGTTGATTGATTAGATACTTTGCACTTATAACACGGTGACCCAAAAAATGTGAGATTTTATGTAATAATTAATGAAAATAGGAGAAAAATAGAAAACAAAATGAAAACAAGTCACAAGTGGCACTTGGTAGTCGTTAGTGAAAATAGGAAATGAAAACAAAAATGTTTTTTTTTTAAACTGAAGTTTTCTATGGTTAATTTTAGCATGGTTGCTTGGTAGAACATAGAAAGGATTAGGATTGTGATGAGATGCTTTGAAAGAGAGAATATCATAAATGATCTCGTAGAGCCAGTAACATATTCTTTTTAAAATGCTTTTTCCTAGAAGCTGGCATGGACATATTTATTTCTTCTTTATGGTGTCAATTATCACTTTTGGTTCAAACCCCATCTGGCATATTACAAGCTACATTGAAGAGGTTGAATTTGAGATATCAATTGGATAAGTGGCAGGGTGAGGATCTTAATCAAGGTTGGAATGTCCATTGTCAAGGAGTGAGAATGGGGATTGGGGGCATTGGGACAATGCTTAATAGCTTTAATACTAGATCAGTAGAACTAGAATTGCACTCAAAACTAAGTTGGTTCAACTATTAAATTCTATTCCATTACATTGTAGTCCTCTGATTGCCTCTATGACAGTTGTGATCATATTAGGAAATTATTACCTCTTTTTTGTAGATCAAAATATTATAGACAGTAGAAATAGAAAGTATGTATATAAGTGAAAAATAAGAACTCCACCTAAAATGAAAAAAGAAGAAAGTAGTGGGCCAAAGTGACTAGAAAAAGCAAAAGCTGGGTAAGCCTTTTGCATTTCAGTAATTGAACGTCTTGTTGAACTAGACTCTTAACCCACTTTCTAAAGACGTCCCTTGAAACATCTATGAGGGTACCGAAGAGAAACCATAAACACAGCTATCCAACAAAAAATTTAGAGAGTCATGCTTGGGAATGTGGGCATTTTTCTCTAACCAAAGTATTCTTCAAACTTTAGCTCTTTTTTTTAAAATTTTTTGGTGATTATTCGAGAATGCCAAGACTTAATTCCTTTTCCTACATGAAATTTAGTGTTTCAAAAGCAAGTGTTTGTTTCTCCCCTTTCTTTGTATTGGGGTTGCCATTTTGCACTATCCTCACACTGTTCTGTTCATTCATTTCTGTATCCAGGTTTGATCGTGACTGGAAAAAGATTGAAGCATTTGTTGGATCAAAGACTGTTATACAGGTAATGCCAAATGTGCAAAAAAAAAATCTTTATTCACCAGAAGTGCATCATCATCTTTAATATTTCTTGATCTGAGTCTAGATATTTCATTTTAGTATGTATCTTGAAAGTATTCCTTCTCTCATTTTCTTGTTAAATTTGTTTTTGTTCCCGATGTTTTGGGAGGGAAGTCAACAGAGCTATGGCAAGAAAGGGGGTATTCACTGATAAAAATCATTTCCAGGTATCATGTTCCATGTGAAGGTTACTTAAAAGTTAAAAATAATTTGATTGTAGAAAATCCATAATGTCATAATGTGGGCAATTGGTTATGTAGTTTTCAAATTTTGCCAATGGAACTTTTATCTTGTTGGAAATGAAATGTCGAAAAAGACAGATATTTTGTTTCCTCCTTGATTTAACATATCTTTCTCAGTGGCATATTGTGCTTGACTGCTATGGTTTGTTGACTCCCTGGTCCATTAAAAAAAGCTTGTATCTTTTATGAGAAAAAAAACTGTTAAACCTAATTTTTGCTCATTTTTTTCTGAGGCAAGGTGCTTCAATTTGAAATTCAAGGTATATCATGAGTTTCATGTTCATTCAATACAATGCAAGTGGTTGCATTGTGATGTCATTGTGCTTTCTACATTATTGTAGAACTGTTGTCAAAAAATGGTTTGTTCCATTAGGTACTTTCTCTCTTTTTGTGGTCACTTTGTGATCTAGGTTAATATCTACAGCATTTTAACCATTTGATTTTTAATCTTTTATTATTAGATTATTACATGATGTTTATAACTATCATTCATATCATACTTCGTTGCCCTATGAAAAAAATCGAAAGACCAACTATCCTATTTGCTGTTAGGTGCAGACCCAGGAATGGTTTTTGTAATCTTATCATGCCTTCACATGTGAGAACAGAACATGGGCAAAGCATGATAAAAGTTTTCATAAAGAACCAACTGCACTCAAATTTTAAATTGTTAGTAAATAGAAGGGAATGGCTTTACCTCTGACAAGAAAATAATGCAAATTGCTTTTGATGACATACATACTGACATGCCGACGATCCTTTTGATTGCCCCAAAAACCAGCAAATATGATCAGGGAGCAATAATTTATGTTAGGCATTATTTATGACAGAATATTAAAATATAATTTGATCCATGCCACCTACCCCACTTAGTGGGGAAATGCTTGGTGTTTGTTGTTTAGGTTGAGACAAGTGTCTGGAGCTGAGCTGACTTGAAAATTTGAATATACATACATACATACATACATATATATATGTATGTATATGTGTGTGTGTGTATATATATATATATATATATGAATGTTTGAGTTTTTGGGGTTCGTGTTATTTTAAAATTTTGAGTTCCCATGTAATGTTCATTCCTTATACCAGTAGATGGAGAAATTTAAAATAGTATGGAATTTGAAATACTTGGAAATTTAATTGTTTCAATTGCATTCCTTTTATTTTCAAAATTCTTTATTTGGATAAAGCATTTCAAATTCCTTGTATTTCAAATTGTTTATTTGGATAAAATTATTTAATTTCTATCATATACTATTTTAAATTATTTAAATTAAAAAAATTAAAAATAATTTAAAATTGAAAAAAGAAGTTGCCAAAAGTTAAATGATTAACATAAACTATGAAAATACCATTTAACAAGAAAAAAGTAAATATTGATAACTTTATACATTTGTATCTTATCAATAGAAATATATATTTGCTAATGGATAGGGATAGGGATAGGAAGAGAGAGGAGGAGGGGAGGAGATGTAGAAAAAGGTATAGAGAGAGAAGAGAGAGGGAGAAAGTTGCAGCACAGACAGAGCATGCACTAAAAGTCAGAAGTGAGAGAGTTCGGATGACACTGGCAGAGAAGAGGCATTTTCAAATTCTTTCATTTTAGGTGTTATTAGAAATTCCTACATTTTGTTTTAAAAAGAAAATTCCTTTCCCGTCATTTTGAATATTATTTGCATTTGATATTCAAGTCATTATGATGTGTGGTATTTTAAATCCACTTTAAAATGGAATTCAATTCCCAATTCCTCATCCAAACACACTACAATTTAGTTTAAGGACTAGAATGATAATTTCTTTTGACTTTGTAGATACGCAGCCATGCGCAGAAATACTTTCTAAAAGTTCAGAAGAGCGGAACAAGTGAACATCTTCCTCCACCCAGGCCTAAAAGAAAAGCTGCCCATCCATATCCTCAAAAAGCTTCAAAAAATGGTCATTATCTTTCACCATATTTTTTTTACACAATTTAAGAGCATTAAATCTAATAATTTGTGATTAATATCTGGCAGCTCCTGTACTCTCGCAAGTGTCGGGATCTCTTCAATCTTCACCGGCTTTGCTTGAACCTGGATGTATCCTAAAGAATGATTCCTCACCAATGCTTAAAAGTCCTATTATGAACACTGTGGTGTCGTCCTGGTCAAACAACACCTTGCAAGCAATCAATTTATCCCCTGGTATTAAATGCTACAATTTTCTGTACCTTAAATTTTGCTTATATTGATGCTGGCATAGTTTGTTGAAGACACTTGTCTCCAAAACAAAAAATATTAAAAATACCAACTACTTTCTTGTGTTGGCAACTATATATATTTATTGCAGTGGCAAAAGTGAATATTTGCAGTAGTGGTGAAAGCACTCCTAAAGTTCGGCCAGTTGGTGAATCTAATGGTCAAGGGAATAAAATCCATCCATTGAGAGGTCAGTTTTTAGTGGTTTTTCTTTATAGATTCAAGTTGATTTTCTTTGATAGTTACATGTATGCATGGCAAGTTTAGTGTTATAAAAATAGTTTGTGCTGACAGTGGTGTATAATGTATATTCAGTGTGTGCTTGATGCAAGTTGTATATCAAAAAACTACACTATCTAGAGTTGAAGTAGGGCTGTCAAATGGATAGATTGGTCAAAGTTTTATTTTGATTATAATGGACGGATTAAAAACAATCTATTTGTGCATTTATTATCCATTAAAAGTTCATTAAAAAATTAATTTTGTCCATGATTCATTTAATAAAACATCCAATCCATCCATTTGACAATTTTTTTTATTGATGGATATCCAATCCATGATCCATACATAAAATTATTTTAAAATTAAATAATTTTCTGATTATTTCAAAAATTTAACTCGTACTATGATATAACTAACATGCTGAAAAATATAAGCTCTCAGCTTTTATTTGAATTCAACGGTACTCTACAAATTATGCTGAAAATTCTTGTATTTTGCTGATATTTTCTCATGGCACCTTAAGTTTATTATATTTGATGGAATCCTGTGTCTGGAACTTATTGTCATTTTAAATGTATTTGCTTCACGGATGTAATAGTTTTGTGACTCATTTCATCTCACATTTGTCATATCTTGAAAGCTGTTTGAGGTGCTTTCTACAAACTCCCACTTTGACCCACATACAGAATTCCTCATAAAATCATTTTTTCCTTGCCAGGCGACTTTCCTTTTTATGCTATTGTGTTGATTCTTTTATACTTACTATTGTCTTGTTTTTTAATTAGTATTTTATTTTATTCTATGTGCAGTTCTTCCGGATTTTACTCAGGTATATGGCTTCATTGGCAGTGTATTTGACCCAAATGCAACTGAGCATCTCCAGAAACTAAAAGAGATGGACCGTATTGATGTTGAGACGGTATGACTAAGTTTTTCCAATCCAATATTTGCTATTCTGTTCAGCTAGATTGGATTGTGCTGTATATACTTTTTAACAAATTAGTTTTTAATATGCTTCAGGAAATTAATTGGTACTTCCTAAAATGACATTAAAGCTTTATTTGAGCCTGACTTATTACTGATTTGTGTCAACTACAATTGTATAAACTATAAATGAATTTATGCTTGTTCAAAAGTACTTACAAATGTATGTCCTTGGCTCTTTATAGGTGCTATTGTTAATGAGAAACCTGTCTATCAATTTAACTAGCCCAGATTTTGAGGATCATGTAAGTATTCAAGTTACTGATCTTTATATTGCTATAAATATCTAGTATGGATCGTGTCATGATGAGTGATTGCCTACCCTGTTTAAGCACCATCAGAGTCCATTTTGATGGTGTTATCTTCTTTTTGTTTCATTTTTGACTGCCCTTATCATTTGGAGTAAGATTCAGTTAAGTATGGAGGGAAAAATGTATGTTCAGATGGTATATTAATTTCTGAGTTTGAAAATCGTGACTAGTATGACTTAAGGAGTTAATTGGCTGAAAAGACATTCAATTGAATCTTTAGAGGAAAGAAGGAACAATAAGGAACTTGATATACGATGGTCATCCTATTTACTAATGTGCATGCATCATAATTCGTGCAGAGAAAGGTTCTTTCATCATATGAAGTTGAAGCCAGAGAGAAATAACAATCAATGTAGATACACAACCCGTGCACAATGAACAGTTGAAAAATGCTAATGGGGTGGAGGCAGAAGATGGCTTCATTTTTCACCAATTGGATGCAGTTCGGGTGTTATTTTGCATGATGTGGTAAGATAGTGTTGGAAAGGCAACAAGCTGAAGATGTTCGAGTCAGCCAAATTTTTACCCTGCTAAGTTTTATTTTGCTGTTGCTCGTCATCGTAGCTATGCAAAGCATTAATCTTCATCATTCGTTATTATGTGTATATATGAATCACGTAATTAACCTATTAAAAAGAAAATAATAATGTGAGAATGTATAGTTATTTCCTAGTTTTGTGTAGGTCTGTACAGCACCTAATATTTGTGTATTAAATTCAACCGAAAATAAAATATTTGGAATCAAGAATGTTTATTCTAGTTTTGTGTAGGTCTGTACAGCACCTAATGTTTGTGTATTAAATTCAGCCAAACATCAAATATTTGGAAGGAAGCAATATTATATTCATAGTCTGTACTGTAGGCATCTTATTAATTTTTCCCAGTTTAAAGTATTTTAGGCACTGGAAATGGAAATGAACCGTAACAAGAACTTAAGATACTAACCTTGCTACACAAATGGGATTGGAGCATTTTTTTTTATTATTCAGTCAAGAGGTGTGTTTTGTATAACTAGTGATTCATCAGAAATAATAAATGGTAATCTCTAGCCTTGGCACTGTTGAGTTGTTGAAGACTAAACAATTTCATAGATAACCAAAAAGAGGGGGTCTTGAGCAAATTTGTAATTACAAAAACGGTATGGTCAGAACTTCAATGAAATCGAAATCGAGATCATGGCATTTTCGAGTAATCTCACTCAAATGAGTTATAGTTGAAGACTGATTATTTTTATGTCAAATAATCATTAAAGTGGGTTGTCTCTTTTAACAAAATCTTTTTCATATATGCTGTCAAGAGTTGAATATTTGACAACATGCATAAAAAACTCGTCTATCTACATATTGTGATGACTTAGTTACTCAAATAAATTTAGTTTTCTTTTTTCACTCAAATGAATATAATGAAAGGTGTAAATATCTATTGTTAAATAGATGTAATATAAACAGTTAGATTAAAAAATATTGCAATAGTATTGTGTTGCAAGAATATAAAATCTTATACAGCCCAAACTGATCCAGTGACAAGTTTTTCCAAAAAGGGAATCCAGTTGAATTAAATTCCCTCGTATTTCAAATTTCTCGAAATTTCAAAACGCCTCTATTCGAACACAATGCTTGGTAATGGAGCAGTTAGTTAGGTGCAAGTTTTTATTGAATCCGAACATAACCATCACAAAACAAATTATATAACTAGTTATATTAGTTAATTTTATTAAATTTATAAAATAAAATCATGATATATTATTTTTATTTTTCCTTTATTATTAAATTTTTTATTAGAGATGAAGACTTCACTAATTTTGAGAAGAGAGATAGTTTAATGTTGTACACCTCATCATGACCTATATGCTTATCGAAGGTTAGTTGAAGGATTGTTTTAGCTTATCAATGTTTACAGGAATTTTTGTTCATGGATTATTTTTATTCGAACTAGTAAAGTTTTTAATTTAGGTATGTAATAAGTAGGAATCATATGGGTTATTTGAACTTTAAAATACTATGTGAATGGGCTTTAGATAACTTATATTCTTAGCTTACCATGAACGAGGCTTACATATCAAAGAAACATGATCACAATTAAACAAGCTTCTAAAACTAGTTGAGGTTCAATTTTATGTGATTTACCATACAAAGATTTCTAGACATTCTTTGATGATTATCATACATATAAACATTTAAATGAATCGAATGAACAACATATATATTGATCACAAAAATCATAATTTGTTTGCTTCCAATAATCGTTGAATTACAATGCATAAAGATTCTGAAAAGCAATGGAATTACACTACTACACTATATTAACTAGGTTAGAACTACTCTAAGAAAAGAAAAGAAAAGGATGACCAAGAAATCATATTCAGAATCTCGTGCAACGGAACCATGAATGTAGGTGGTGGATGCATGTGAGCTTATAAGTATTGAATTTTCGGTCTCTTCGAATGAGCCTGCCTTATCTATTTATAGAGAATAGGAAAGAGTAATTACTTTTGAGTTGGTTCGACATGGGGTGTGCAACTGTCCCATGTTACACGACATGGGTAACTCCCTTCAACCGTTCTTAACTTCACGCTATTGCATTTACATCTTTGACTCTCGAATAATATCTTCGAGATCCTTGGCTTTAATATTTTTGAGAAACAATTGTTACCCATTGGACTCTTGTGATCTATAACAATCTTATGATTCACGTAAATATGGAGAACCTCCTTGAACCGAACCGCTCATAATTATACCCCTTTAACTTGTCGAATAGTTCCTTGAAGATATTTCAATTACTTAAGGATTTCTCTAAATTGTCCCAACACCAACACTCCCAGAAAACTTATGCAATAAATAAACTAAGTTAATATGTCTCCAAACATATGCAAGAGCATATGAAGCAGTACTGTGAGTTCTAAAGTATATTAAAAGTTCCTCTAGGAAAAATACATTCTTCTCTACCACTTCCAATCTAAAATTCACTCGTTTAGGAGAGTGTTTCTAGCATGAAGTACTTTATTATATGCCTCATTAATATACCACTAAATTGATTTATTATTGCCGGTTAAAATCGAAAGAAAAATAAATAAAAATCATAAGTATTTTTAATTTATAATAAATTAAACTCTAATGTGGGATCATAATAATGGTGTCTTAAAAGTTTAGAATTTGTTTGTGTTGAGATTGGCACGTGACATGTCTACAGTGTCGCCGTCTCCGGCATCATCCACGGCTAGGCCACCGCCACAAACACCACCCTCTTCCAACACTACTAGTCCCTCGCCATCCACCACCACCACCGCAACAACCCCCTTCTCCCCTTTCACCGCCTCTATCAACCCCACCTCCGGCGGTGCCGCCGCCTATTCCGCTGTTAGCACCTCCCCCTATGTATGGAACTTCCTCTCCATTAGCACCTCCACCATCACCACCACCGTCTTCACTACCGCCAACTTCTCCGGCGCCGCCACTAATTCCACCTAGCTCTCTACCACTGCCACCACCGTCAGCACCAATTCCATTAAGAAGCCCTTCACCGCCCCCACCATCAAACCCTTCTAACAATACATCCCCACAGCCATCAACACCACCACCAAACAATTCATCACCATCACCACTACGAAATTCGCCACCTCCTCCGGCTGCCATGCCGCCACAATCCCCGCCACCTAAAAATTCACCACCCCCTACGACAGGACCACCCCCCAGAAACTCCACTCGGTCACCGTCGCCACTAGTTAATTCACCTGTGTTGCAGACAAGGTCATCGCCGCCACCGACACTAGCCCCATCCACCCCTCCTCCTAGGATTAGTCCTCCTCTACACCAAGTTCTCAACCAATTCCACCTTCAAATTCTACACCAAGATCATCACCTCCACCTAGGTTTAGGCCATGGAAGCTCTACATCTCACTCATTCTGTTGGAGTCAAAAGTCCCACTACCGCAGATTGAAGGGTTTGAGAGTTAGAATTTAGAAGAAAACCAAAACTTTCCGATTAATCCTTAAAATATTAATTTTTTCATTTAATAATACATTAATTATAGATTAATTATATTATTTTAAATAAAAATATCAAATTATTTAATTAAAAGTCACAAATCTTAGTCATTCAATTTTTAAAAAATATGTTTAATAGTAAAAATTATTACTTTATTCATATATCACATTTCTTAATACATCATGTTAGAATTTTTCCATTTAAGATTCTGATTAGACGTCTCTGACTCTAAAAGATATGTTTCTAACTTTTCCAGTATTTTGGACCATCATTAGTTTTTGAAAATAGGAGAAACAAGTCACTAAGTCACTATATTAAGATATTTTCTAGGTTAACTATCAGATATTGGCTTCCACTATCTGCAAAATTAAATGGATCCTTTTTTCTATTGCATCCTATTCTCTTGTATTGTGACAATAATTCTATCATACAAATAGTTCAAAATTCAACCTTCCATGAACACACGTGGTACATTAAAATTAACTGTTGCTTGTCTGTCGGAAATAAACTTCGTCAAGGTATTATTCATCTGTTGCCGATCTCGTTTTTCGCTCAATTGACTAATATTCAATATAACATGATTAATATATATGTTTAGCTTGCGAACGCTATTGAATAATACAGATAATTAATTTGTTATCCTTATAGTAAAAGACTGTAATTAAATTTGATTAATTAAGATTATGATTAGATAAAATCAGTCGAATAATATTTAACATACTATTTTATAGTCAGTATTTAATACTCTGACTCAACTCTTTCGTGATCTTGGAAAACTTCATCCGGAGAATTACAGGTGCAAAGATGCTTGGCTTATCGAGGCTATTTGGTCTTTGATTCTAAAGTAAGCTCAAAATGATTTTTGTTTCTTTGCTTATCAGTTCTATCAAGGATCCGTTTTCCATACATTTTTGACCATGAAATCGATCAATTTGTGCATATCAAAAAGTTAGAATTAAGTTGACGCATTTTGCCCCAACACAATAATTAATTAATTATTCGTCAAGTCATGAATATTATGATACTATAATCGGTCGTACCCCTTCAAGCATGTCATTTTAAAACCAGCAGAACCTAATATGATTCGTTCAGAGTGTATATTGACTCAAGAACATTCTTGTCGGTTTATTTTTCATTCTGAGGACCACTAATCCAAACCCATGTATCATTGCACAACTTCATATGCATAGAATTTATGTCTGTTGTTGGTACGGTACTTTCTCTAATGGTATGTACATTTTCATGTAAAGCATAGGCATCACACATTTATCCAAATAGGAGTCAGAAAAACTAGGACGCTGAAAATATATGCTCTTTCCATTAATGTGTGTATTTAGAACCAACACTGACAAAATAGGTAGATGCAACAGCAGACACATTTTCACATCACAAAACTAAAAAACTCGTTACAACAACCACAAAGGGAAGGAAAAATAATTAAGGAAAAAACTAAATTACCATGGCATCCACCACCATTTGACAGACTAAACCAGACAGGAACCACAATTCAATTCAACAAACACAAGACCTTCGGCCTTTAGTCCACTTCCTCCATTTTGCTCTCCTCTGCACCATCCTCTTCCAATGGGGGCATGTCAACATCTTCTCCACCATTCTCATCCTCGTCAATGCTGAGACCCAACTTCAACATCCTGTGAATCCTTGCAGCAAATGTGTTAGGCTCATCAAGGCTGAAGCCTGAAGTCAAAAGGGCTGTCTCAAAGAGAAGCAACACAAGGTCCTTCACTGACTTATCATTCTTGTCAGCTTCAGCCCTCTTTCTCAGCTCCTCCATGATACCATTGTCAGGGTTGATCTCCATGGTCTTCTTGGAAGACATGTAGCCACTCATGCTGTTGTCTCTCAGAGCCTGAGCCTTCATGATCCTCTCCATGTTTGCAGTCCATCCGTATTCACCAGTCACCAAACAGCATGGAGAGTCAACAATTCTGTCAGAGACAACTACCTTCTCCACTTTGTCTCCCAGAATGTCCTTCATGACCTTGCAGAGATCCTCGAATGATTTCTTCTTCTCCTCTTTCTTCTTTTTCTCTTCCTCAGTCTCATCATCCAACTTCAAACCTTCCTTCGTGGCCGACACCAGTTTCTTGCCATCGTACTCCTTGAGTTGTCCAACTGCATACTCATCAATGGCATCCACCATGAAGAGAACTTCATAGCCCTTCTTCTTGAGCCTCTCCAAGAAGGGGGAGTTCTCCACAGCCTTTTTGCTCTCTCCAGTGATGTAGTAAATGTCCTTCTGACCTTCCTTCATTCGTGTGACGTAGTCCTTCAAGCTTGTCAACTCGTCTCCACTCTTTGTTGAGTGGTATCTGAGCAAATCAGCCAACTTGGCCCTGTTTTGGCTATCCTCGTGGATACCCAACTTCAAATTCTTCGAAAAAGCATCATAGAACTTGTTGTAATCCTCCTTGTTCTCCGCAATCTCGTTAAACATCTCAATACACTTCTTCACGAGATTCTTCCTGATCACCTTCAAGATCTTGTTCTGTTGCAGCATCTCACGTGAGATGTTGAGGGGCAAGTCATCGGAGTCAACAACACCCTTCACAAATCCAAGGTACTCAGGAATGAGCTCCTCACAGTTGTCCATGATGAACACCCTCCTGACATAAAGCTTGATGTTGTTCATCTTCTTCCTGGTGTCAAACAAATCAAAGGGTGCCCTTTTTGGAACAAAGAGGATAGCCTTGAACTCGAGCTGGCCCTCCACAGAGAAATGCTTCACAGCCAAGTGCTCTTCCCAGTCGTTGGTGAGGCTCTTGTAGAAAGATGCGTATTCATCCTTGGTGATCTCTTCTGGCTTCCGCAGCCAAATTGGCTTCTGCTTGTTGATGAGCTGCCACTCGTGAGAAACCTCCTTGATCTTCTTCTTCTTCTTGGAATCTTTCTCCTTCTCCTCGTCAACTTCCTCAACTTCCCCTTCTTCCTCCTTCTTGGGCTCATCATCTTCGTCATCACTGATCTCCTTCTCGGTGGTCTTCTCAGTCCAAAGGTAAATGGGATAGCTAATGAATTCAGAGTGCTTCTTCACAAGATCTTTGATCCTTCTCTCTTCCAAGTATTCCAACTGTTCACAATCCAAGACGTTTATCAATCACATAAGTTCAACATAACTAAGAAAGTACTAAAATCAAGTAACAACATGAATCGAGTACAAAACCAAAATTTTCAACAACACAAAGTAACGGGTAGCATCAAATCAACTAACAATAAAATGGGGTTAAAACGATCACTTAACACTACCTGATCTTCCTTGAGGAAGAGGGTCATCTTGGTTCCCCTTCCGAGTTGCTCGCCATCGGTGTCCCTTGTAACCGTGAAAGATCCACCAGCCTGAGACTCCCAAATGTACTGTTCATCATCGTTGTGCTTGGTAGTAACCACGACCTTCTCCGCAACAAGGTAAGCAGAGTAGAACCCCACACCGAATTGCCCAATCATGCTGACATCAGCACCAGCCTGCAACGCCTCCATGAACTCCTTTGTCCCCGACCTCGCAATAGTACCCAAGTTGTTCACCAAATCTACAACACAACCCAAGACACAAAAACCAGAGTCAGCAAAAAACGGAAACGTTTCCAAATCAGCATCTGCAACTCCGAGCAGACGATCATGTTGCAGTTAATACATTACCTGCTTTAGTCATTCCAATGCCACTGTCGATGATTGAAAGAGTCTTGTTGGCCTTGTCAGGCACGATCCGAATGAAGAGCTCTGGTTGAGCATCGAGCTTGCTCTTGTCGGTTAAACTCTCGAATCTAATCTTATCCAAAGCCTACATTATACAGAAATTCCAAACACTGTTAGACTCACAATTAAGGAAATTAATATAAGAACAAGAAATGCGTATAGTAAGCAATCTCAATTGGTTGTAATTCACTCCATTATTAAAGGAGAAAACTTAAATGTATACATTTGTGTGTTCTTCCGCTAATCAAAATCTCAAATTTCACATTAACAATTTGCATAGAAAATTAAAGTTCACATAAATTATAAAAATTAAACTTCAATTCTAGTTAAAAGAGAAAGATCAAAAACATAAATAGTGTACTTCATCAATCAAATTAATTCAGAGGTGGAAAATGAAATAGAACAAACAATAACGCATGATCAACATAGTACAACCAATGCGATGTCCATGGCATCGAGAACACGTGTTTGATTAATATCTGTTTCTTCGTGTTCAAAAACTATTCACACTTACATTAAGAAAGAAAATTCAAAATCTGTAACGGTCAAATGCGAGACTCTGTTGAATTTTAGTAAAATGCTATACTCTGTTTTACTCTTCGGGATTCACGTGATGTGTGATTGATTTGATACTACACATAAGTGATTGTTTGTAATTGGAATAACCGAAAAAGTGAAACTACAAAGAGCGAAAGAAGCTTACATCGGAACTGTTGCTAATGAGTTCACGCAAGAAGATCTCCTTGTTGCTGTAGAACGTGTTGATGATGAGACTCAGAAGCTGGTTGATCTCAGCCTGGAACGCGAAGGTTTCAGCATCCGCCATTGAAGATAACCGCAGAGAACGAAACTAGGAAACAGCAGAGAGCGAATTGCAGAGAAGAAAATTGAGGAAGCGCAGAGAGCGAATTGCAGAGAGTTGAATCCGTTGAAGGCAGAGAAAAGAGAAGGGTTATTTATATAGAAACGATGTTAGTTGGGTGGAGCAAGTGGTGCGAAAGAAGGGGTTCTGGATTCTTCTACCTCTCTCTCGACTCTCCCATTTTTGGGTTTGTTTGTTTTTTTTGAACGAATAGCGCGTGGGAACAGACGGTGTCGTTTCGCTTTTTGAGTTTCGCGGCAAGGTATCGCGAACTTTCTATGGAAACGGTTGTGCCTTCGCTCTAGAATGTTCCTTCTCTCTCCGTTGACGACGACTTCAAC